ATGGGGCTTGCAGTGCACGATGCTGCCCAGGGTTTTATGAAGAAGAACCGGTTTAAAAGGAAGCAAGAGCCGAGCAGGACTGAAGAAGAGACGACGTGGTTGTGAAGCAGGTAGGCCCCCTACGTACTTGCCTCAGGTATGTACTCACCTACCAAGGAAGGGTCAGGGTACCTTGGGCATTGGTAAACAGAGGCAAGGCAGGTAGCAGCAGTATCACCGACGGCAAGAGTATGTAGTAGCAGCAGCAGCAGCGACAACAGCAGGGAGCAGGCGCAATCATCAAGACGCTAGCACACTGGCGCCCGGTGAGGGCCCCATCGACGACAAGGGAAGGTGGGCAACGGTGGGCTTCTGTACTAAACACTGGTGGGTCAGGCTTGGCCCGGCGCGCGAACAAGCCCCAATTCAGTGCCTTGCCTTCCCATGTCATTCACCGCGTAACTCGTAACCTGACAGAAGCGAATACTCTGTGGACTGGAAAGCCGGCAAAAGATTAAATTGTCGTCAAAATCTTCTTGGTCAGGTGGCAGAACCGTGAGGTGGTGCAGGATTTTTCTTTGCCTCGATATTCGTTGCTTCTGCTGATTCAAAACCGATACTCATGTCGGATGGTCCCGCTCCACCCCCGAAGCCCCCTACCCCCTCGTCGCCCGCTGCTTGCGACTGTGACAGCAAACGTAGGTACTGGCTGTACAGTATGTGCAGATCACTGCAGCTATGCAGTGTCAGTCGGTCCAACCGCCCGTGGAACGGTCAGAGGAGGAAGTGCCTTGGGGGCACAGCAAGAGTGAGGGAGCCTTTGTGTTGATGGTACACAGAAGAGACAGGGCTTTCCACCAAACGTGCGTCCCAACCGCAAGAACCACCTGAGGCCTCGATGAGCACAGGGCCCGGCATGAACTGTCTAGAAAGTTGCATCCAGGCACGAGAAACAGGCACGACATGAAATGTTGGCATGGCAGTAAGACAAGCAAGAGACTTGAAAGAAGCACCAGAAGCATCACATTCGAACTGATGTCAGGACCCCCTCTCCCCCCACCCCACCCAGTCAGCCTCCCCTTGCGCTCAGGAGCACCGCTCATGTGCCTAACCGGAAACCCCTTTAGCGCATGGACTGCCCCAAGATTGGCGGTTGCCGAGAGCCCGAGCTCCTCTCTAGCGCACGCTTTGCCGGTCTGAATATGGGCCTAAATGTCGTTTCAGGCCCTGGGCCAACCGTGAGCCACACTGCGCGCCACTGGCTGCCTCCGTCTCGAGTCCGCGCTGCCACATCCCACACCCATTTGATCGACTCAACAACTGGACAGGCATCGCGCTCCTTCATCACCACCCGCGCCGAGCCGACGCGTTGTGAGCCAATTGCGACGTCAGCCAAACGCGTTGATCGCCTGTACCAATCGCCTGGTGTCGAATCGTGGGAAGTCAGTCCAATCGCCGTGGCGTTGTTTTACCTGGCCTCACCGACGATTCGCTCGACAACGCTCAACAATTCTGTACCCTCCAATGCCCACCGACAAATGCCTCGATGGCAACCGCCGTCCGAGCTGGGATGAAGAGGGTCGGTGAAGACAAAGGCGCGAGCCACGAAAGACCTCCCCCGCTAAAGAAAGCCAGAATCCATGCCACCGCCAATCCCGTAAAGCACGCTCTGCTTCGGCAGTATTACCCTGAAATTGTATCATTACGCCACTACCTCATCTCTAAGTTGCCAAGCGCGTCAGACTCCGTCGCAAGAAGATAGCCAGCATTGGCTCCGA